CCAATGGCGTGACGTTCGGTTCAAGTATGAAGAGCTTCCATGTGCACTCAACAATTCGTCCAGGAGGGGATTAGTTTAAGACGTTTGGCGTGTTTTTCGGCGCGAAATTAACCATGCAAGATGCAGTGTGCGAGTGCAAGTGCGAGTGTGGATGAACAGCCTTAACGCTGTTCCGTACCAGGCGGCGCTGTCCAGTGGCAGAGCAGGGTTGGCTCGCGTTGCGGACAGTGGTTTCAAGCTCTGATGGGCAATGTATTGGCCCGCTTCCTTACTTGTCCTTCCATCTTTGACATTGACGCGTTCATGCATTTCTCCGTGGGCCCGCTTCCACTGCGACGAGATATCGCGTTTTTGGTTCGCGCAGTGCTTGGAGAGGGGCCCATGAATCTGGTCCTCCGCGGGTGATTTATGTGTTCTGCGAGCACCATATTACTTATTCAGGTCGTGTTTGGGTGGTGTTTGAGTGTATAATATTTTGCTGGATACGGTTGCTTCCACTTCAAGTAAGCAGTTTCAATGCATGTTGACAGATTTGATCGAAGTCGGAGAGGCGACTCATCTGCTAAGAGCGTGCAGAGATTTCTGCCCAACGGTTTGAGGTCGGGTCTTGTTTCTCTTCCCTCGCTCGCCCTGCTTCGCCCTTTCCTTTTCCCTTCTTCCTCCTCTATCCTATTTTCCATGTCCCCCCCCCTGCGCGTCCGCCGTCCCCCTCTTCTCCCTGGCTTCTCCTGCGCAGTGCGGGTGTTGTTCGGTGCTCGGTCCGCTGGCGGTTTTCCCGCCTGGCGTCCGGCGCCTTCCCGCTCCTTTTCCTCCTCGCCCCCCCCTGTGTGCGTGCTTGCTCTGCTCCTCCTTGCCCCCTTTCTGTCCTTTTCCCTTCCCTTCCTTCCCTCTTCCTCCCTTCCCTCTCTCCTTCTCTGCCTCCTCTACGGTTTCCTAGCGTTCCGCGACGTTTTGAAGGGCCACGTGGAGCGCCGCGTGGAGCCGGGGTGTTGCTTCTGTCCCCCCTGGGCACTTGGCGACAATTTTTTATTGGTTTCTTTGGTTGTCTTCGCCCCCCCCTTCTCAGCCGGTGCCCCGCGTTCTACACAGGTGCTTTTTGTGAATGCCATTGAGAGTTTCGCTTGCTTTGTATGATGAGTTTGACGACGCGCGGCCGATACCGTAACCGAGTATTTTTACGCGCAGGAAGGATTCACTCCTCCCTACTGAATGCAGTTCCATTGCGCGCATGTTCAGATTCATTCGAGTTCAATCTTGCGTTTACAATGCCTGCCGTATTCATTTTTCTCCATATTCGTTCTTGCGCAAACGTTACCATATTTGTCTCGCGTGTGTGTGTGTGTGCGCGCAACCGCGCAGAACCCTCTAGCCCGCGCCGTAGTTCACCCCGAAAACAAAGCAGCTGGCAACACAACATCCGAAACGTATCCGCCGAAGACACATGATACGAACAGGTGGGCACCGATGACGGGGAGGGGGGGAATGGGGGGTGGGGGAGAGAAGCGGAGAGGGGCGGGGAGACGGAAAACAACGCGCAGGGGACTGAGTGAATTAGCAACGGGCAAGGAAGGAGAAAAGACGCACGTGGCCCATCAGGGGGGGCCGCGAGGCCCGCGCAGCGCTCCGCGTCGCCCACGGAACGGGGACACCGGGCAGGTTTAATCCGCGCAGGAACGAACGCGATGAGGAACAGGAAATCTAATGGACGAGGGGGGGGACTGGGATGGGGCGAGGGGGGGAGGGGGGGCAAAAACAAAAGGATAATCGGGAAGGAAAATGGGCAGAAAACGTGGTGGAAGAAGGGGGTGGAGGTAAACACAGTGTTCCGCGGAAAGGGGCGTTTGGGGATGCCGCGTAGAGGACCAAGCAGGTCGCGCGACGAAACGCGCGCTTCAAATCCGCGCCAAGAACATGCAGGTGAGCAAGAGAGAGAAAGGCGAGGGACGAGAAAAAGTAGAACTCACGTCACGTGTGAACCCGCGGGGATGCAGTGGAGGCCACTACAGAAAATTTTGCACGAGAAACCTAACCCTGAGACCGCAGGGAGTCCATGGATTTCTGGTGTGGGAACGTCACGCTTTCAATAGCACAACTATTGAAACTCCAGAAACCCAGGGCGCTGGAGGCAAGCAGGGTGTATCTGGGCATGGGTCTCCATTGTGTTTCCCGCGTGCAAATTGGGGTAAGCTGTTCTCGCGTCGTTGCGACAGCGGAGCGCGGCGCGTAATCTGGCAAGCGGAAAACGCCGCCCCAACAGGTGGCAACAACGGCGGCAGGGCGCGCGGGATTTTTTGTTGTTGTTTTAGAAAAGATATGACAAATTTGAATTCGAAAGCACAGGGAAGAACCGCGCCCAATCGCGCTTCAGTGTGCGACGCTGAGTGCGGCGATGTGCTCGACCTTGACGTGTGAGATTGAAAGACAGAACGGGCACGATCAGCCCTGGGAAGAACTCCCTCGCAGGAGGGGGCGCAAAGGTGGACGAGTGCATACGCGTGGTATTCGATACAGTGTGAGACATTGGTTACGGAACGACCCGCACGACCATTCCAATTGGTTGCCAAATTGCTACCGGCGCGAATGCAACATACAATGCGCTCCAACTGACTTCCCGCGCGCAGTCACTGATGGCAGAAACTATCAAGCGTGTGCTTCTAAGGCGAGTGGCAATGAATTTAGATGCTGAGCCAGCGAAACTACTTTAGGCGGAAGGCGGTGGCTTTCTTCAGGTGGATTGAACTGAACACGATCCACTAACCCCAGAGGTGCAAAAAACGCTGGGCCATGCGGGCGCGAGGCAGAGCAGCCGCGTCAGTCGCCTCTGCCTGGATTTGTTGGCCGCCATCCTGAAGTTACAACACAATTCGGCTTGCGCAGACAACTCGTGCCGAATTTTTGGATCGAAGAGTGGCGAGCGGCGCGAGAAGGGCCCAGCTGGTGAGGCAGAGCGGGAGGAACAGTGAATCGACGCAATTCAAGTCGGCCGCGTAGCCGGACAGAGAGGCCGGCGTACGCGGAGTAACATATTTTCGGAAAGCGAGTTGGGCCGCGATGTCAGGGAGGGAGGCCGAGGTGAGCAGGTGAAACAAGGTGGCTTGTAAAGTTAGCTCGGAGGGTGGGCGGTGGATTGTAGATTATAGTGTGGCGGATTAGGCGGGTTGCACAATTAAGTTCGTTTGCGCCTTATGGCAGGGAAACCCGTGAGGAGCTCACTGTCTCTAGTGCGGAGGGCGAGGGTCGAGGGGAGATGGGGGAGATGATCATGTTTGTTCCGTTGCGTCACCGTTGTTGGACTGTTGCAATGTGCATCAAACAGGGCTGTGGTTCATCGGATCAGTGAGCGAGAGACAGAGAGAGAGAGCGAGAGAAAGAGAGAGAGAGAGACAGAGAGAGGAAAAGAGAAGCTGAGTGCAAAAACGTACATGAGCACGCAACACAAAACCTCAGAGGGCATCACAATACCGAGTGACGGTCGCGCGCCAGGCTGCGATGGGTTGCATTGAATTTTGCGACAGATGCGCAAGGGCCCCCTCGCCCCCCGCTGCCCAGACAGTGTTCGCATGAATCTCAGAACACCTCGTGCCCGGATCATTGGTGTGCACGTTTGGAAAAAGGTTGCAAATTGCTGGCTTCAAACCTAGATCGTTCTCGCTGACGGCACTTTATCCTTAATCACATTGTGTTTTTGATGATTCGTCACCAGCAGCAGCGTACGATATGAAATCGCATATTCGAGCAGAAATCGGCCATTTGGACTCGTAAGTTTTATCGTGGTCGTTCTCCACACGTTTCAGTTATTTGACCACTGGTGAATACCTTGTGGTGTCGTACTGCTTCATCGCGTTGACTGTGTTGCACAGCTGTGTTCTAGAGCTCGGAGGCCTTTATCTGCGTTGCTCGTTGCTCGTTGGTTGGTAGGTTGGTTGGCTCTGTTCCTGCCTCCCTGGCTCGGCCCCGGGAGCCCCCCGTCCAGGCCTCCGCCCAGGTCCCCCCCGAGGCCCTCGGAGCCGTTTGAATGCTTTCGTGGCTCCTTGGTTTGTTTGTTGGCTGGATGGTTGGTCGGTTCGTCCTCCCTCCCTTGCTCAGCCCCAGTCCAGGACTTCTGCGCTGGCTTCGCCCGCCCTGGCGCCACTATGCCAGGCCCCCCAGTCCAGGCCCTCGCCCCTTGCCCCGCCCAGGCCCTCGGAGCCCTTTCCTTTGGTTGGTTGGTCGGTTGGTTCGTCCTCTCCTCCTCCTCCTCCTCCTCCTCCTCCTCCTCCTCTTCCTCCTCCTTCCGCACAGGCTTCCCCTTCAGGCCCTCGGAGCCCTTTACTCTCGCGGCTCGGTGGTTGGCTGCTTGGTTGGTTCGTCCTCCCTCCCTGGCTCAGCCCTGGGCCGCGGAATCCTTAGTTTTCGCTCGCCGTCGTGTTTCTCCCTCCTGGCCTCCCCTGGGGCCTCCTCCCTGGCCCTCCTCGGGGCCTCCCCCCTGGGCCCCTGGGCCGCGAACCATCTGTTTTCGTTTTTCGTCGTGGTTCGTCCTCCCCCCCCTGGCCTCTCTCCAGAGCCCCTCGCGCTCGCCGTCGTGGTTCGACCTCTCCCAGAGGCCACAGAGCCCTAGCTCGGACCCCTTCATTTTCACTCGTTCGCTCGTCGTCATTCGTCCTCAGCCCCCTGGACGCCACCGGCTCGTGACCCCTCCCGCTGGCCCTGGGCTTCGACTTCCTTGGCCACTGGCACCTCTGGCCTCGGGCCCCTCGCCCTGGCCAGTCCCCTCCCCCCCGCTCGCCCGTCCTGTGCTTTCGCTGTCCTGGGCCCTGGCCCCAGAGTTCGGGCCCCTTTCTCTTCGTGCCCGTATTTCTCCATCGCCTCCTGCACGCCGGACAATTCGCCTGTCGGTTGCCCCGAAGAACCACACGCTGGAGCGGACTGCCTCTGCCTTGCCGCCGGCGACAAAGTCCCGCCATCGTGGCTCCAGGAAGGCTCCACGATGGCCCCGAGGGACCCCCCTTTTTATCCTGCCGCCTGTGTTTCTCGCCTCCACCTCGCGCACGAATCAGGCATGCATGCCACTTGTTTGGGGATGCTCGGATACAGTTTTGCATTTCGAGTGTTGCGTGCTGTTGCTTCTATTTTTTCTATCCGCACGAACTCCACGGGATTCAGCAGGCAATTTTGCAGATTAACTAGCAGTTGCCCAGCACAGCAGGCTTGGATGATCCTTCCGCCAGGTGTCAAGCTCTAGCAGCGCTGGGCCGCGGAGAAGCGTTTCTTCCAAGGACGGTCGCGATGCGTGTGGTCATAGCTCTTGAGGCTGCTGGCATCCTCACGCATGCCTTTGTGCGCACAAAGGCGAGGGAATCTGCAAGCATTTCACATTCGTGCGGATATGCGATGATAGTTTTACGCTCCATGGTCATAAACCTTGGGCAGTGCTCCGCGATTTATAAAAAGGTCCCACAGGGAGAATAGTCGAAGGCTTGAAGGGTGGACGTTGGGTGGACGTGTGAATACAGGCGCTGGCCGAAGCATCGGTTAATTTTCACAACACTGGGGATTCTGTGCTCGGCGTTCTGGGGGAACGCGTTGATTTTGGTTATATTTAGGGCCAGAGGGCGCCCAAAATCTCGTCTTCCCCGTTATCGCCGGTCCGAACGCCGCCGATGCCAAATTTTCCCCCCCCGCGCAGGTACACGGCTTCTCGGATTGTCATCGAGATGGGGCGATGATCCAGGCTCTATTTGTTCCAGGATGCACACAGGCCTTTCCCCCGGTCCTTTCCCTTCCCCTCCTCCGTCCCCTCCCCTCCATCTCCTCTGCATCATCCCTCCGTTTCTCCTTATCCTACCCACCTTCCTCCCTCGCATCCCTTCTCCTCCCGTCCCCTCTTGTCCCCCCTCTCTATTCTGGACCCCCCCTCCCTTGTACCTCGATGGTCGATGTCGGGAATCATCAAGATGATTCGACGGGAACGCTTGGGAGGATGATGAGAGGAAGGAAGAATGGAAGGGTGTGAGACAAAGGCGCAGAGAGGGATGAACTTGGACGATGGCTCGGACTGCAACCCCTGCTTCCACAGGTTCCTTGGAGTGTCTCTCGGATGTGCCCCGCTTGAATTGACGAAGTGCGGATTTTCCAGACTTGTCGTGCCCAGGACGAGGTGGATGTCAGCATCGTGGGCGCCCTTGAGGTGGCGATTCCGGAGGTTTGTAGGGGAGGCGAGTTGGCAAATGAACAGTTGAGTCGAGTCTTTTTGTGAAGCATTTGATGTACCACACGGACATTGGGGGCTTGTTTTGAATCTTGAGGATGAAGCTTGAGGAAGTAACACATACTTTGTAAGAGACACTCTCAGCTGATCGATCCTCCAGAGCGTTGCCGCATTTGTTTTGATGTTGGGTTTGAGGTCGATAACCTGGGCGAGACCGAGCTGCACTATCTGCAGGCATTGTTTTGATTTGTTGCTCATCGTTGCGTCGGCCACATTGTCCAATGTTCCAGTTTGGATTGTTACACCGCTGGCGATGTGCGTTGAGGGTCTTGGCCTGTTGAGCGCCCAACTTTTCGCTGATATGCGCGCAGTCGCAGTCGTGCGATAACCGAAAGGCGGTGCAACGAGGAGGTGGGATTCTTCCACCCGAGCTGGATGCTTCCTCGTTTGACTTGTTGGTGATCGATGCGCATGCTAAGCGGCTGACGTTCGATGAATGCGTGCTAGCTGTCTGCTGTACACTAGGGCAAAGCGCTGGGGAATCTCAACACCCGACGTAATGTTGCCGTACGCCAGCTTGGAAGCCGTGGATGCCCACAAGAAGCCCAACGTGCCCGAAGGCTTTCAAGGGGCCATGCCCCATGAGGCACCAGCAGATCCTTGGAAGTTATGGCTGGAGAGATGCCCCCGTCTACATATAACTCAACAGATTTTTGCGTAAACTGACGGAGCGTCGCAGTCAGATGGGGCACCGATGTCCGTCATTCCTCTCTTTATCACTTGGATGGGGTGGCACTTCAGTGTGTCGCTATCTCAGAGACAGGTGAGGACACAGTCGCATAAGACATCCGCTGGGCTGCCTACCTCTTTATCCTCCTGAGGATGAGTCACACAGAGCTCGATGAGTGATCTCATTGGCGATCGATTGGCGGCCAGGTTTTCGAGCGCGGCAGCCACTTCAAGCTAATTTCGGCGGCGTCAGTAGTGCAATGCTCGAGGCATGTCAGTCGATCGTTTCATCATCATTGTGACGGCTGTTTCGCGTATGCCACATGCGGCAGCTGCAATCGTGAATGAAGCTGGCGGCCGTCTCAGAACAACCCGCTGAGCTTGGACGACATTTTCATGAGCTCCTCGTTCAAGCAGGTCCGCCACGTGTGGATCTCACAGCGGGGGGATTCCTCCGCTTCATCCCCGCCTCGTTTCCTTCAGTACGAGGGGAGCAGAGCACCTCCCGTGTGAGTTACGCGTGCGAGTGCACATCCCGTGTGGATTACACGCGCGAGTACGCGTTCACTTCATTACAGTCGGGGCCCATGCCAAGACACACCCTGCTTGCCTCCAGGGTGCCCTGGGTTTCTTGGGTTCCGATGGTTTTGCGATGGAGAGCTTGGCGTTCCCACATCAAAAATCCGTGGTCGTTCTGGGGTCTCAGGGTTGGGTTTCTTGTGGAAGGTTTCGTGTGGTCTGGCCCCCACTGTATGCGCTTTCCCCTGCCTGTGTGTTTCTTCTTGACGTGCCGATTGTGCAGTCGCCCGCAACAACCCCTGTGCAGGTCTCGGGCGCAGCCGTCTCCGCCGTGGAGAACGCCGAGCTGGCGTAGCCTCAGCCCGATTATGCGCGTGCAGGGCACATGCAACGCAGCGGGCAAGGGGCAGGGCAGAGCGTGCCAGGGCAGGGCGTGGCTGGGGCAGTGGAGCGCAGGGCGGGGCAGGGCTGGGCAGGGCGGGGCGGCAGAGGGGAAAGGGCACGGCAGGGAGGGGACCCTGCGGGAGAGCATGCGGCGTCCGGGAGACTCCGCGGGAGAACAGGCGCGGGAGAGCTTGCGGGGGACCACACACCGGGCGAGCACCAGGGGGGAGAGCCCGCGGGAGACCACACGGGAGGGCCTGCACCGAAGAGCTCCTGGGAGAGCGTGCGGGAGGAGAGCACACGAGAGAGAGAGAGAGAGAGCGCCGACACGGGAGAGCACACGGGAGGCCATACGACGGGAGAGACCCTGTGCGGGAGAGCATGCGGGAGGCCATGCTGAGGGGCCACGCGGGAGGCCATGCGCGGTAGACCAGACGGAAGACCGCGGGCCACGTGATACCGTGTTTGGAGATATGTGTGTGTGTATAGATCGGTATACACATATACGGAATTAGTATAGACAGTATACAGTAGAGCATACGGGAGAAGACATCGCAGAGCATGCGGGGGACCATACGGGAGACTACGGGCCACGGCTCGCCGATTCCGCAGCCAGACTCGCTCGCACGCGTGCCCCAGAAGAGAAACGCAGGCGTCGTGCAGGCAGACCGCTTAGGAGACCCATGTGTAGGATCTTTGCAGGCAAGTTGGTCAGGGCAGATTTCAGAGCACATCTTTTGTCTGTGCACTTTCGCCCTCGCTATGTTCCTATTCAGATATTTTGATTGCCCGGGACCCCCACCTCCTGCCCCGAAAGCGACCCCCCCGAATCCAGGGCACCCGGGACCCTCTGGACCCCCCAGATCCGTGGCCCCCGGAACCCCCTGGACGCCCCTGCAGTATGCCCCCCAGGCGTTTCAGAGCTCTTGGAAGCCCTTACTGGGCCTAGGCAACGGGCCCAAATCGGTCAAGGGCGGCCGAACGCCCCCCCGAGGGCCCCAAGAGGCCCCAGACACCCACCAGACTCCCGAAGACGACCCAAATGAGACACCCAAAAGGCTTCCAAAACGCAGCAAAACATGGATTTTCCAAGATTGTTGCATGATTTTGGGAATGCCCTGTTCTTCGGTCTTCTGGGCGCTCGAGACCGCCTGGGAGGCTCGAAAATCGCCCCAAAACCATCTGAAAGGGCTTCCAGGCAGTCCAAGAGAGCTCCAAGACGGCACAACACGGTTCCAAGATGGCCCAAGAGAGCCCCATGACGGCCCAAGATGGCCCCAAGACGCCTTCCGAATCATTTCAAATCGTGACCCGAACGTTCAGGGAGACTGCGGTTGGAGGCAGGGTGGCCCGAGGAAGCCCTCAGAGGCCCCCAGAAGACGCCCAGGAGGCCTCCAGAAGGCCTCAAGAAAGCCTGAACAACTTCCGTGAGGCCCCCAGAGGCTCTCCAAGGAGGAGCCTCCGCAAAAAGAGCTGAGGAGGATGGGAAAGAATTTGCAGGGTAGGGCGAGAATGAGGAAAAATAAATATTGAGGAAGGAAAACGAATAACATTATAATAACGGTGATGCTGGAAAAAGGCAACAAGGAGTTATTGCTAAATTGTCAGTTTTACCTTCGTGCCATTCCGCCTGCACACCAAACTTGAAGGACCAAGGTGAATGGCGCGAAGTGCCAACGCAGTCTTATGTGTGTATATATACATATATATATATATATATATATATATATATATATATATATGCGTCCTTTCCTTGATTCCCCTCATAGTTTTTTCACATCGTCTTCCCGTCCACCCTATCGTCGCCCTCCTCTGATTTTTTCTGGTCGGGATAAGCGCCGACGCCGCAGCCGATTCTCCTGCTAGCCCTACTTCTGCTGCTCCTTCTTATCCGATCCATGGTCAAGAACTCTTGGACAGCGTGTCGCGCCGCCGGTCCTGGCCCACCTCTCCGGCGCGATGCTCCATCCGTCTCCCCAGTTCTAAGCGACAGAGTGCGGAGCTGCTCCCGGCCTCCCGCCGCGCGGAGCGGAGCGGCACGGTATCCGCTCCGGGGCACGGCGTGTCGCCTGGGCCGCCGTGGCGACACACATTGCGCAGAAGTTCCCGACCGTACCCGTGCGCTCTTCGCCCGCGAGCCGTGCCAGGGAGTGCCGCTCGCAGGCGGCGGCAGCACTGTTGAGCAGGAAGGCCGCGCGCTGCTCCGTGGGGGTGGGCGCAGCTGCACGCTGCGCGGAGGACTGACGCCACCCAGCCATACTAATACCATGTGTTCGTCGCACCCAATTGGGCGACGCGCGCGCCGAGAAATCTTGTAGGACAAGCTTCGTGGCGGGCGCTTCCGGCCGTACCGCTCGGGAAACGATGTACAGCAAGTGGTTGTATTATATGTTCGGGTCGGACGCACGCCTCCAAGGAGGGCACATAGCACTAGTTAGTATGTCCTTGTGCGTCCCACGGGGCACGCCGAAGATGCCCGCAGCTCCTCTGTTCGTTGGCCTCTCGCACTGGATCTTCTTGCCATGTGAGGCGTCCCACGAAGGGTTTCGTCTTCGAGGGATCGAGAGGGTGACCTCCCTTCCTCGGCGGAAGGCGGTGGAAGGGCGGCGGATGGCTGCGGAAGTAGAGCGAGGCCGCCTTCGCCGGCAGAAGCCGGCGGAAGGCCAGCGGAAATAGGCGAAATGAAAGATATGCTTTCAAAAGATATGACATTTTTGGATTCAGGGTTTCCGGAAATCGCCATGCAGACGGCCAGCTTGTTTTGAAACGGTTTTTCCGCGGTTATCGTGGGCAGGATTCGTATTGACTGTTGGGGGGGGGATGGACAGCTTTTTTGCTGTCGTGGATGCAATGTTACGTTTTGCATCTGACTTCGCAAGCCGGTTACGCAGAGCGTATGCGGATGCCGTACGTGTGCATGCCTCTTTCATGATCATGACTTGCTTTTGTCGCATATTTAGCAGTTGCGCGAGGGCACACATCTTCACGTGTACACGCATTTCTAAATGTGCGCATGTGCATGTATGTGTAATCATGCACGCGCAACGTCGCGTAAACACAGTTGCACGCACTTACGTTCCCATGTGCACTTTGCACGAAATACATCTACATACAAGCGAGCACACAGGCGTGCCCATATATCGGAGTTTGACAGACCTCCTACCCTGACACGTCGATTCGTGAATTGGTCGTTTTCGGTTCGCGAGAGGGCGTCATGGTCGTTACGTTTGTGGGTCCAGGTCCGTCGGTTTCGGTCTTAGGCCGGGTTCATGAAGGGGTGGTTTATTAAAGGGAGGGTTGTCCACTGCCGAATTTACGTATTTACTTGGGCGTGTACACGCATTCCAGCATCCACACGCATGCCAACGTACGCTATTACCCATACGCACGTACATACGCATTGCTGAGGTTCGTGTGCAAGTGTCCTGGCACGTACCAAGCCCATGCGCAGTCGATTGGAGACACAAGAGAGTCACCAATTTCATGTTTGGCAGCGCACAAGAGGGAGAGGCCACAGTTTAATTTGCTGAAGACTCTGCTCCGTTGGATCTCCCCCCGGGCGCAGGAGTGTGTCAACATGTGTACGCTTGGCAGCGCACTGGCAGGGGGCGAGGTTGAATGGTATCTGCAAGCCAATCAGCAATCGTCATTCGCAGTCCCTGGTGCCACTGTCGCCAACGAGACGCTGCTACTCGCAGGTTTTTTTTCCTATTCACCCTTTGTCGTTTCAAGGTGAAGGCAAATGTCACCGTAAAAGAGAGAAAGAAAGAGGAAAGCGTGCGAAGAGAAGGAGGATGAGGAGGATGAGGAGGAGGACGAGGAAGCGGAGGAAGACGCTGACGAGGATTGATACGATAAGGAGCGCGATGATACATCGACCGAGTACCCCCTCTCTCCTTCCCTTCTCCCCTCCCGCTCTCTTCCTCCCGGTTCCGGTTCCCCCTCTTCCTCCTCATCTCCTTCCTCTTCCATTCACCTCCCGTCCCTCCTTTCTCCGCCGCTCCTCCTCGTCCTGTCTCCCCTCCCTCGCCCCGTCTCCTCTCTCTCTCTCTCTCTCTCTTTGGATCTCTCTCTGCCGCTCTCTCATCAGCGCGTCTCCCGCCCTTTTTTCTCTCCCTCCCTCCTCCCCTCCTCCCTTTTTTTTCTCTCCCTCCCCCCTCCCCTCTCCCCTCCCCGCCTTGCGCCCCGATGCCGCGCGGCGAAGGCCGATATCGTCAAGCAGCGCACGTCCGACCGCCTCGAGACGATCTTCACGGCGCGGGCTCAGCGAGCGGAGGCGTCGGCGCCAGCGCCCGGGTGACCCCGAGAAGAGCAGGGCTCAGGGAGGGGGGAAGGAGCAGAGGGAGAATGAACATGAGGAGGACGAAGGGTAGTTTCTGGGGTATGCAAGCCCGTCGACTCTGGGCCTCCTGGGAGGGAGATCCCGGCCGTCATCATCCCCGCAGGCTCTCTCGCCAGTTTGTCGTTGTAGCAACGAGCAAGGTGTAGTAGTTGTTGTGTAGCCTCGAGTTGCAGGCGTTGTTAGCTTCGATCGACTTATCCACTGAGTTGTGAGGGATATATATATATAGAGAGAGAGAGAGAGAGAGAGAGCGAGAGATCGAGGTAGAAAGAGAAAGGGAGAGAGAGAGAGAGAGAGAGGTGGAGGAGGAGTAGGAATAGAGAGGTGGATCAGAATTAGGGCTGGTAGCAGTAGTAGTAGTAGTAGTAGTAGTAGTAGTAGTAGTCGTAGGAGGAGGAGGAGGAGGATGAGGAAGAGGAGTGGAGGACGACGAGGAGAGGAAGGCGGAGGATGAGGAGGACGCGGGAGAAGGGAAGACGAGGGAGAATGGAAGATGAGGAAGAGGGAAAAGGATGAGAAGGAGGGGTAAAAGGAGAAGAGGAGGAGAAGCAGGAGGAGCGGGTGGCTCATAATTGGGGCTAGTGGTACCGTAGGATGAGGAGGAGGAGGAGGAGGAGGAGGAGGAGGAGGAAGAGGGGAGGAGGACGACGAGGAGGGGAAGGTGGAAGATGAGGAGGACGAGGGAGGAGAGCAGAGGAGGGAAGACGAGGGAGGAGGGAAGATGAGGAAGAGGGAAGAGGAAGATGAGGAAGAGGGAAGAGCAGGGAAGATGAGGAGGGAGCAGGGAAGATGAGGAAGAGGGAAGAGGAGGAAAAGGAGGAGGAGAAGGAGAAGAAAAGGAGAAGCAGGAGGAGCGGGTGACGATGATGATGTTGGGGTTGATGTTGTAGATGACGATGATGCTGAGGATGCTGCTGCTGATGATGCTGATGACGATGATGATCACGATGATGATGCTGATGATGATGCTGATGATGATGCTGATGATGATGATGCTGCTGATAATGATGAAGATGCTGATGCTGATGATGATGCTGAGGATGCTGCTGCTGATGATGCTGATGACGATGCTCATCACGATGATGCTGATGATGCTGCTGATGATGATGCTGTTGATGAGGATGATGATGATGATGATGATGATGATGATGAGGATGAGGCTGAGGAGGAATATGCTGATTAAGATGATGATGATGATGATGATGCTGATGCTGACGCTGATGATGATGCTGATGCTGATGATGCTGATGTTGATGACGATGACGATAACGATGACGATGGTGTTGATGATGCTGCTGCCGATGCTGCTGCTGATGATGCTGAACATGAAGATGCTGATGACGATGCTGATGCTGCTGATGATGAAGATGATGGTGCTGCTGATGAGAACGATGGTGCTGTTATTGATGATGATGATGATGTTGAGGATGATGCTGATGATGATGCTGCTGCTGCTGATGATGATGATGCGGCGGCTGCTGCGGATGATGATGTTAATGCTGATGCTGACGATGATGGTGGTGCTGCTGATGATGCTGCTGATAATGATGATGCTGCTGCTGCTGATGATGATGATGATGATCAGGATGATGCTTATGATGCTGAGGCTGCTGATGATGCTGCTGCTGATGATGCTGATGATGCTGCTGCTGCTGCTGATGATGATGATGATGATGATGTCGATGCTGTTGCTGCTGCTGCTGCTGATGATGATGATGATGGTGGTGATGATTAGGAGGCGGAGGAGGAGCAGCAGCAGGAGGAGGAGGAGGAGGAGAAGGAGGGGGAGAGGGAGGAAGAGAAGAGGAGGAGGAGGAGGGAGAGGAGGAGAAGGAGTAGGATGAGGAGGAGGAAGAGGATAAGATAAGGGACGAGGGGCTAGGGCAACGGGGAACGAAACGTATACCTGTCACGACCGCGGCCCTTCGAAGATCAGGGCTGGGAGGGGAGGAGGAGGGGAGGATGCGGGGGCAGAGGAGGAGGAGGGAGGAGGAGGAGTTGGAGGAGGAGTTGGAGGAGGAGGTTCAGGTGTACGGACCAGGGCAAGAGAAGCTCCCGCGGAGCGCCTGTCCTGCTGTTTCGGGGGCCGTGGCAGAGCGACAGTTTTTGTAAAGAGCTGCCGTCGAAAGTTCACGGCTGCGTCCTCCGCCTCCTCCTCTTCAGACTTCCCTGAAGGTCTCTGCCGATGACGCTCTGCGCACAGCGCTTTGCGGGTCGTGCTGTGCTCGCTGTCGCCACTCGGATCTGTCGCGCGCCGTTCGGCGGCGCTTCCTTCTTCGGGCCGAGCGGCCGCGGCGGGGCCCGCCCGTCGCATCGCTGTCGAGCGAGGTCTCGATGCGTCTGTCGTTTTTGTACTGCGAGCTCTACAGTGGAGACCCCTGCCAAGAAACACCCCTGCTTGCCTCCAGGGTGCCCTGGGTTTCTTCGGGTTCCGATGTTTATTGCGATGGAAAGCATCACGCCCCCACGCCGCAAATCAGTGGACGTCCTGGTGTCTCAGCGTGGGGTTTCTCGTGGAAGGTTTCTTGTGGACTGGCCTCCACTCCACTGGGGATGCGCGGGCGCCCCCTTTGAAGAGTCTCCAGGGGTTTCCGGAGATCCCCCCCCCCAGAAGTCCCCAGATGCTCTCCGAGGCCCTGCGAGGCCCCCCGAACATCCCAAGATGTCCAGATGGGGCTGAGCCGTGAGAAGATATGGATCTTCCCCTTCCTTCCCCAATTCCTCCTCCAAGTCCTCCTTCACCTCCTCCTCCTTCTCATTCTCCTCCTCCTCCTCCTCTTCGTCCAACTCCTCCTCCTTCTCCTCCTCGTCCTCCTCCTTCTCCTCCTGGTTGTTGCGGCAGGCGCCACGTGGCCATCTAGGCGCCTATTCCCTATCAAGCCAGGCTCATTGGCAGTGACAGCTTCGGCAGATTCCTGGCGAGGTGCTAAGCCTCTGGGCCTCCATCTGGTCCGCAGCAGTCAACTGTGAGGTCGAAGATGTCAACCGCACCAAAGAGAAGACTGAGCGAACAATGGCGTGCGTTCGGCCCAAAAATGAGGGTGGAACAGACCACCACGGCCGGCGGATGTGGTTGAAGGTGAGTCCGGCCTGGAGGTACAGGAGCATGTCGCACATTACAGGCATCATTCAGTTCAAGTGCCAATCCACCATGCCATGCCATCTACCCAATCGCCCACAGAGCTCTGCACGATGCCCTAAACGCGTCTGCTCCCGACTCCCACAATCCACTTTCAGCTATCGCTGCCCAGTTTTCCAATTCACCTTCGACCTCCACCTGTCGACTCCCAGCTTCACCTGACCGACTTCCAGCTCCCAGCTCCCGACTCCCACCGTCCACCATCAGTTGTCGACTCGCAATCTTCCACCCCAAAACTGTCGACCTCCACCTATCGACTTTTCATCTCACCTGACCGACTTCAAGCTTCCAGCTTCCGTCTCCCACCATCAACCAACAGCTGACGGCATCCAACCTTCCAGCTCTAGCTTTCGACCTCCATCTATTGACCTCCCACCTCACATGGTCGACGTCCAATCTCCAGCTTCCGATTCACAACATTCGCCACCAGCTACCGACATCTGGTCTTCCACCTGCAGCTTTCGACCCCCGCCAGTCGGCCTCCAGCCTCAAGGGCAGGATCTTCAGCTTCAAGGGCAAGATGGATGATAATCAATATCGACCAAGACATCCGGTCGGGCCTCAGGTTTTTCACGTCACTCTGGCGCCCCGGCGCCGCACCCGCAGCACCCTAGACGGTGCCCCATGTGCGGGCGTGCTCGTGCTCGTGCTCCCTGTGAAGGGTTCCATCGATTTTTCCACCATCTCAGATTCTTTGCCAGAAGAAGCCAACACGGCATTCTGATACATATCGAAATTCTTCGGTCCTCCCAACGACAAACAAAGCGATTTGTAAGACAAGTTGAACCACGCAAGCCACGACGATCTGCTGGGACTCCTCTGGATCGAAAACAAAAGAATCCCAATAAACCAATGGCGCAAACGCTTTGCAGCAGTCTCGGCACCTGGGAAAAGACAGCCGTGCAAGATCATCTACGGAACGTTCACACTTCCTCCTCCTCCTGCTCCTCCTCGTCCTCTTCCTCCTCTGGCTCCTCCTCCTCCTCCTCCCTCCTCCTCCTAATGCTCTTCCTCCTCCTCCTCCTTCTCCTTTTCCTCCCTCCTCCTCCTCCTTCTTCTCCTCCTCCTCCTCCTCCTTCTCCTCCCCCTCCTCCTGCTCCTCCTCTTCCTCCTCCTGCTCCTCCTCCTCCTCTTCCTCCTCCTCCTTTCCTCCTCCTCCTCCTCCTCGTCCTCCTCCTCTTCCTCCTCCTCCTCCTTCTCCTCCTCCTCCTCCTCCTTCCCCTCCCCCTCCCCCTCCGCCTTCTCCTTCTCCTTCTCTTCCTCCTCCCCCCCTTCCCCCTCCCCCTCCCCCTTTTCCTCCTGGGCGCTGCCCAGCCTCTTGGGCCAAGGATCGGCCTGGCCAGATTAGGTGAGGTGGACAGTGGACGTCCCCCGAAAGGGGTCCTCAGGCTCTCGGCCCACTCCCGGGCCTGCCTACTCTCGGCCTGCTTTCGGGGGCCCCCAAACGGGGTGGTGACCACACCGTGTGGTGTGTCGTGTGGTGAGTCGGTGGGGATTCGGGGTCACTGCACGGTTTTGGGACTCGGGTCATTCTCCGAGGACGTCTCGGGCGACAGGGGCCTCCAGAGTCCCAACACCGTACTGTGACGGACCGTGCGGTGAGGTCTTGGGGGATTTCGAGGTCACCGTACGGTCAACGGCACCGTTTCGGGACTCTAAATTCTAGAAGGCGGCTTGGGATGACACGCCAGTCCCGAGGGAGGCCTCGGGATCGAAGGCCTGTTTTTTCGGCCCCGTCCCCCTCGTTCCAAATCGCACGAGGGAAGAGTGGGCAGGGAGGGGAGGGATGTGGACGAGGGAAGGGGTGCTCTCCGCATGCGGCTGAGCAGGGGTGGCATGCACAGAATGAAGAGGGGGCGTGGGGATGATGATGATGCTGCTGCTGATGATGATGAGGACGACGATGATGATGCTGATGATGATGCGGATGGTGGTGATGATGCTGCTGATCATGATAGTGATGATGATGATGCCGATGATGAGGATGATGATGATGCTGATGGTGATGATGATGCTGCTGATGATGCTGATGATGATCGTGATGATGATGGCTGAAGCTGCTGATTATGATAACGATGATGGTGATGATGGTATATGATGGTGCTGATGATGATCGTGATGATGCTGATGCTGATGCTGCTGATGATGATGAGGATGATGATGCTGTTAATGATGATGTTGACAATGCTGATGATTTTGGTGGTGGTGATGATGACTACGATGATGTTGTTTATGGTGATGATGGTTACGATGCTGACAATGACGATGCCGATGGCGATGGTGATGATGACTATGATGATGAGGATGTAGATGATGATGGTGATGCTGATGCAGATGCTAATGTTGATGTTGATTCTGCTTACGATGGTGATGATGTTGATGCTGCTGCTGACGATGATGATGACGCTGGCAATGATGATGCAGATTATGATACCGATGATGACGATGCTGAAGATGATGATGATGACGATGATGACGACGATGATGATGCTGATGATGATTTTGCTGATGATGATGGTGATGATGCTGACTCTGATGATGATGATGATGATGATGATGATGATGATGATGATGATGATGATGCAGTTGGTGGTGGTGATCATGCTGCTGCTGCTGCTGATGATGATGATGATCACGATGACGACTTTGATTATCACGATGATACTTCTGCTGTTGCTGCTGATGATGCTGATGATGATGCCGTTTGTGGTGGTGGTGGTGATGATGATGATGATGACGGCGACGACGACGGCGGCGACGGCGACCAAGCAAAACGACGGTGACGATGACGAAGACGACGACGATACTGATGATGATGATGATGATGATGATGATGATGATGATGATGATGATGCTGCTGATGCTGATGATGATGATGATGATGATGCTGCTGCTGATGATGATGATGTTCACGATGCTGCTGATTATTGATATGATGATGATGATGATGAAGATGCTGAAGATGATGATGACGATGTTGACGACGATGGATATGATGGAAATGATGATGCGGATGAAGATGATGATGATGATGATGATGATGATGATGATGATGATGATGATGATGATGATGATGATGATGATGATGATACTGATAATGATGATGAAGAAGATGATGACGGTGATGCTGATGCTGTTGATGATGATGATGATGATGCTGGTGGTGGTGGTGGTGATGATGATGATGATGATGATGATGCTGATGAAGAAGATGATGATGATGATGATGATGATGATGATGATGATGATGATGATGATGATGATGATGATGATGATGATGATGATGATGCGGAGGAGGAGGAGGAGGAGGAGGAGGAGGAGGAGGAGGAAGGAGGAGGAGGAGGAGGAGGAGGAGGAGGAGGAGGAGGAGTAGGAGGACGAGGAGGAGGATGAGGAGGAGGGACGCGATAATGATGATGAGGAGCAACAGCAACAGGAGCAGCAGGCGTGGGGAGGGTTCTCAGTAGAAGCGCGAGCGAGCTTACGCGACCGCGCTGGGGGCTCCGTCGCAGGCAGAGGCCGAGACCGTCTTGCAGGAGGCACTCGACGCCCCGGGCACAATGGACGAGGCGGGTGCGCACAGATGCTGCAGGACAGGGTATGATGGTGGTGATGATGGTGGTGATGATGCTGTTGTTGCTGATGATGTTGATGGTGATGATGGGGGGAGGAGGATGAGCAGGAGGAAGAGGAAGAGGAGCAGCAGAAACAACAGCAGGATGAGGAAGGCACTAACGAGGAACGCGAGGAGGGGGGAGTGGGGAGTATGAAGTAGCATTGGGGCAACGAGTAGATGTAGACGGACGGGGCGGGGCAGGAGGCGCGCCGCAGCGGAAGGGAGGCGCAGGGCTCCCAAAGCAGGCGTGCGCGTGCGCGCCTGTCGCACACCAATGTTGCTGCCCCCCGACCGCCGACAACGTGATGCCTCGGATGTTCCGACTGCGGTGTGGCGCAGGCGCGACGGATTGGCGACTTGCAGTGCAGCGGCTTGGCGGCTACAGCGGCCTGCTGTCGCGCTACGTGGCCTGCGTGGCGTTCCGTGTCTCTATGGCGCCACCCGTCTCTTGCCTAGGTCGGGACGGGCCGTCGCGCCTTCTCCGCCGCGATGCCTTTTGAGGTGCGGTTGGCCCCTGCGGGCGCTGGCGGAGCAACGGAAGGAGCAGGATCAGGGGAGGAGAAGATGAGGATGAGGAGGACGAGCAGGAGGAGGAGGAGGAGGAGGAGGAGGAGGAGGAGGAGGAGGAGGAGGAGGAGGAGGAGTAGGAGGAGGGAGGGAGAAGGGGGAGAAGGAGACTGGGGGAAGGGGGGCGGATGGATGGATGGAGGGAGAGAGGGATATGTGTACACCTGCAAGACTGCATTGGCGCTTCGCCCCGTGCACCTTGGTCCTTGAAGTTCGGCGTGCAGGCGGAATGGCAGGAAGACAACGCAGACGATATAGCGACAACTTTTGGTTGCCTTTTCCGACAACGCCGTTATACCGATGTTATTGATTATCCTTCCCTCATGTCTCTCTTTCTTTTCCTCCTATTCGCCCTACCCTTCGAATCTTTCCACATCCTCCTCAGCTCGTTTTGCGGAGGCTTCTCCTTGGAGAGCTTCTCGGGGGCCTCACGGCAGTTTAAAAACATGATTCTTGGGGCCCTCTGGACGCCTCCTGGGCGCTTTCTGGGGGCCTCTGGGGGCTTCCTCGGGCCACCCTGCTTCCATTCGCGGGCTCCCTGAACGACCGCGTCACGATGTGGAATGCTTCGGGGGGCGTCTTGGGGCCATCTTGGGCCGTCTTGTGGTTCTTTTTCTGGCCATCTTGGAAGCCTGTCGTGCCGTCTTGGGGCTCTCTTGGACTGCCTGGAAGCCCTCTCGGATAGTTTTGGGGCGATCTTCGGTCGTCCTGGGCGGTCTCGGACGCCCGGAAGAACGGAGAACAAAACATTCCCCAAATCATACAACAACCATGGAAAATCAATGTTTCTCTGCGTTTCGAAAGCCTCTTGGGGGTCTTCTTTGGGTCGTCTTCGGGCGCCTGTGGGCGTCTGGGGCCTCTCGCGGGCCCTCGGGGGGCCTTTCGGCCGCCCTCCTGACCGATTTGGGCCTGTTGCCTAGGCCCAGCAAGGGCTTCCAGGAGCCTCCGGAAAGCCAGGGGATCCTCCTGCAAGGGCGCCCAGGTGGCCCCTGGGGTCACGACAGGGGGGGGTCCAGGTATTAAAAGTATCAGAACAGGAATAGAGAAAGAGAGAGAGAAGGAGAGAGAGGGAGAGCGGGAAAGAGAGAGAGCATCAACAACAAACAGAAGAGGCAGGTGCAGGGACATATTTTGCAGCGAGTCGTCGCCTCGTGGGAGCTTTCTTGGGCTGCCTGGAGGCTCTCAGGGTGCCCTGCAGGTGTCGAGGGGCGGTCTTAGAACATACTGGGGCTACGGTTGAAAGAAACAAGTTTGCACCACCTGGGCGGCACGACAACTGATGATACGACCCCTCCGCCCCCGACCTGAACATTGAGAGCGGACGCGCACGCTGAAATGGGATGCATATTTATTTTCTCGAAGGGGCCCGGGAAATGTCAAAACTATCAATATGAAAGTCGGGGGCTCGGGGGAGCGGCAGTGCCATCCGATTCGCAGCTCAACCCGAAATGGTGCTGACGTGCTCCTTCCGACCGTCTCTGAAGGCTCTCTGCGGCCGTCTCGGCGCCATCCTGGGAGCCGTTTGGGGGACTCCTCGGTGGCTTCCCGGCCCGCGCTGTGGGCCCCTCCGGAGGCCCTCCTCGGGCGGTCCTCGGGCCCCTCCCGGGACCGTCTTGGGCCGTTTTTGGAGGTGCGGCTGGGTAGCCCACACGCTTCGAGGGCCCGATGCTCCTCGAGGAGGGCACCTTCCCTCGGGGCCTCTTGTGGTGCGTCTTTTGTCGTCTTTGATGCCTCGTGCGCCTCCCGCGGCCCTCTTGGGCAGTCTGGTCGGCACCTCGGTGCTCTGTTGGGCCACCGTGGGCCTGGATTCGGCAGTCTGGGGCTCTCCTCCTCCCTCCTCCCTCCTCTCCCTGCCCATCCTCTCTTCTCCTCCCTCCCTCCCTGCCGCCCGAGGCCTCCCTGGCGGAGTTCCGGCAGCGCTACATCGGCCTCAAGATGCAGAAGCACACCAGGCCTCGGGGGACGCCGCACACACACACACACACACCGCACACACGCACACACACACACACACACGCACGCGCCAGCACCGTCCCTGTCCAGGCCCGTCGGTCCAGGACCAGTGCACGCGCCTTCTCTGCCTAACCAGGGGGCGTCCATACCGATCCTGGGCCCAGGGTGGGCCTGGCGAGGATCGGTTTGCCGACTACACCTTGTGTGGCTACGCCGGGGTGTGGCTTGCGATCTGCGTCGCTTGGGCTTGGGGGGCACCACGCTGCCCTCGTCGGGCCACCTCGGGGCGCGGCGGAGAGCTCGGTCGAGGTCCTCGCCCGCCCTCCAAGGTGCGGGTTGCAAACCATACCATTTTAGGCGGGCGCCTTCCCCAAGGCTGGCCCTGAAGGAGCTGGCGGGCCCGCCCCCGCACGCCAGGCGCTCGGCCGGCGAGGCGTCGGCGGACCGCCCTGGGCTGCCGCGGGCCGCTTCGGCGGGGCTCGAGCGGTTGAAGCAGGGGCACCAGTGGAGCTCGTCCAGGAGCTCCTCTTCGGAGTGGCGCCGCCCCGAGGAGCATGCCCCGCTGGCCGCCGCCGCCGCCGCCGCCGCCGCCGCCGCCGCCGCCGCCGCCGCCGCCGCCGCCGTCGTCGTCGTCGTCGTCGTCGTCGTCGTCGTCGTCGTCGTCGTCGTCGTCGTCGTCGTCGTCGTCGTCGTCGTCGTCGTCGTCCGTCGTCGTCGTCGTCGTCGTCGTCGTCGTCGTCGTCGTCGTCGTCGTCGTCGTCGTCGTCGTCGTCGTCGTCGTCGTCGTCGTCGTCGTCGTCGTCGTCGTCGTCGTCGTCGTCGTCGTCGTCGTCGTCGTCGTCGTCGTCGTCGTCGTCGTCGTCGTCGTCGTCGTCGTCGTCGTCGTCGTCGTCGTCGTCGTCGTCGTCGTCGTCGTCGTCGTCGTCGTCGTCGTCGTCGTCGTCGTCGTCGTCGTCGTCGTCGTCGTCGTCGTCGTCCGTCGTCGTCGTCGTCGTCCGTCGTCGGCCGTCGTCGTCCGTCGTCTGTCGTATCGCCGTCGTCCGGCGTCTGGCGCCTGGGTTCCGTCGCCGTCGTTGTCGCCGTCGTCGTCGCCGTCGCCCCCGACGAGTCGCCCCGAGGAGCGCGCCGTGCGCAGCACCAGCGCGGGGCCGGGTCGGGCCCTGCGCGGTGCCCCGCCCGCCGCGGGCCCGCCGTGCGCCGACGCGTTCGGCGGGCGGGTGGTGAGGATGACGTAGGCGGCCCGCGCGGAAGGGCGCGGCCGAGGATGACTCGGGCCACCGCGCGCGCCTGGAGGGCCCGGGGGGAGGCGTCTTCGAGCTACCGCCCCCCAGTTTCGCGCACCGCGCCCCCCGAGGCGCGACGGGCGGTCGGCTTCGCGCCATCGCGGGGCCCACCCTTGGGAGCAGGGCGCCCCTCCGCTGACCCAAGCCGCGGTGCGCGGAGCGCGATGACCCGTGCGCCCCGGGGGGAGCTTGGTGACTCTGCAAGATGATGCTGGGGGGTGGGGGAGGATCAGATGGGGAGAGCTTCTTTTTGTTCCCAGGCGTTTGCGGGCGTTGCCCGGGGGGAGGGGGGGGAGGGACAGGGCGGGGCAGGGGGGAACAGGGCAGGGCAGGTCACGTCACGTTTCGCGCCAGCGACGTCCTTGGGAATGTCTTAGGAATAACCAGAGACAGCTCGAACGTCAAGACGAATCGTGACGTTACCCGAGGGAACGGACGGGGGGGCGGCCGGGGCAGGAAGCGGCCGCTATCGCGAAAAATCAAAACGCTCCCAGGATGGCGAGTCGTGACAGCGGTCGTTGGCCTCCCTCGACGCCACGGCTGGGCGCAGCTTGGGAAGCGGGTGCGTTCGGGCCCCAGAGGGGCTCGGGGACCGATCTTGAGCTGCTGTTGTCTCAACTCGCCGTGCTCCGAAAGCAGGGCGAGGTCGGGCGGGAGGGTGACCGTTCATCCAGGACCATCCGACCCCCCCCAGGAAAGGGGGGAGAGGGGGGAGGGTTGGGGTCTCCGTCCGCCGACGGGTGTCGTAGCGGGCAAGGAGCTCCCCACATGACCCCATCGTGCTGCGGGCAGGCAGACCGGGGGAATCGTGGTGTGCCCTGGAGGAGATGGAGGGAGGAGGAGGGTATGGCCGATGACCAGGAGAGCATGAGCAGGAAGAAGAGGGGGATGAGGAGGGAGGAGGAGCACGAGGAGGAGGAATAGGAACAGCAGCCTGAGCAGGAGTGGGAGGAGGCGGGGGAGCAGGAGGACCAGGGCAAGGCGGAGGAGGGGAAAGCAGACAGGGGGCGACGACGACGAGGAAGAGCTCGGTCGGATCCAGCAAGCATGGCCCACGCTGGGGCGAGGGCGCGATTCTGAACGACGGGGGCAAAGCACCGATCCTCCCGCGAGGCCAACGCCGCAGTGGGAACCAGCTGGGTAAAGAAGGCAGGCGTCATCGAATCGAGCAGGCGCAGGCATCTCCGGAAGTCCCCTGTGCGCAGGGGAGGAGTCGTGTGTTCGAGAGGCGACTCCCCGCTCGCGCAGGATCCGGGGCGAGGGAAGGTGTGACTCCTGTCGGGTATTGGTGGGGCGGGGGGGGGGGGAAGGGGTGGCTTGCTCGGACGTGTGGCGAGGACCATCGAGGGGCATCTTCGACCACCTGGCAGAACACGCAGGCACGCGCGGAGGCGACAGCTGCACGGGGGAGGGGCGTCCGAGCGATGGCAAAGGGGGGGGGAAGAAAGACCGGGGGGAGGACGGGGTGTGGGGGGGAGGGAACGGGGGGGGAGGAGCAAACCGTGCGGTCACGGTCGGAGGGCCCGTGGTGCCACCGCGGGGGAGGGGCCCGAGAAGATCGTGGCGTTCGGTTCGAATTCCGAAGTCGACAGCGACCGCAGGAGGAGGAAGAGGAGGCGGACGAGTGTAAGCCCAAGCTTGATCAACGACGTTGGAATAAATCCTCGATCCAAGCTCCCTCTTCATAGGCCCCTACACGGGTTCACCTCCACTGAGGGAAGTGGCCCGTTGGGAGAGAACCGTTCGAGGATCCTGAAGCCTGCCAAATTCTCCGGACTTCAACGCCATGAATTAACTGTATTGTTGCTCATGACGTTCCTGAACCGTGCCAAAACATTATTCCTGGGACTTCAGCACCGCGAATCGACGTAACTGTTGCGCCCTGACAGTCTTGAATCCTTCCAAGACGCCGAGTCTGGTATTATAACCATGCGAATCCCGGAAGCCTTTGCACATGTTCAAAATCAGTGCGCGCGGTGCTAAGGCGAGAGCCACATTCCGAAATGGAGCCGCCTTTTATACGTGCACATTGTATTTTTCAAGACGAATGTGAGCGGCGCTAAGGCGAACACACCATCTTGACAACGACTTGCTTTCCATCCGTGACAGTGTCGCAGTTTTTTGAGACGAATGTGCGCGGCGATCAGGCGAGAGCCACATTTTGAAAACGACCCGCCCTCAAGCTGGGAAGCTCCTGCAATTTGTTAAGGCGGATGTGCGCGGTGCTAAAGCGAGAGCTACATTTTGGAAGCGACCCGCCCTCCATCGATGAAGCTGTTGCCAATGTTTTGAATTCAGGATCATCAGCGGTAGGGAAGTCTCAGGCGAAACTCCTGGCCGGCCCTTCCAACTGGCCTCGGGGTGCGACAGGGAGGAGTTGTTTGACGAGGTAACGGAATGGAGGAGGAATAGCAGGAGGGGGAATAGCAGGAGGAGGAGGAGGAGGAGGAGGAGGAGGAGGAGGAGGAGGAGGAGGAGGAGGAGGAGTAGGGGCGGCTTTTAAACTTTGGTCGGGCCCCGAGGTGTACGGCGTGGCTTCTCTGGCCTCGATGCGGATCCTGCTTTAAGTCGGCGGGCGCAGTTTGCAGAGCGGACTACGCCACTGAGGAACCAGCGGAACCAGAGGAGGAGGAGGAAGAGGAGGAGGAGGAGGAGGAGGAGGAGGAGGAGGAGGAGGAGGATGAGTAGGAGAACGAGGAGGAGGAGGATGAGGGGGAGGAGGAGGATGAGAATGATGAGGATTCGTGTAAATCCAAGACGCATTAACGATATGGCAATTAATCCTTCCTCCAAGCTCCCTCTTCATAGGCCCCTCTAAGGATTCAGTCTCACTGAAGATAGCGCCCCGTTAGAAAACAGTCGTGTGACATTCCAGAACTGTGCCAGAACACCGTTCATGAGACTTCAATGCCGCAAATCACCATTATTGTTGCGTCTTGACGAAACAGAACCGTGCAAAAACACCATCTGTCGCGCCCTGCCAGTCCGACATCGTGCCAAAACACCATGACTGGCTCGTTGACCATGAGAACCAAAGAGATCGTTTTCCACTGAAAGAACGATTGTGCGCAGCGCTACGGCGAGAGCCACACATTGAAAAGGAGCCGCCTTCTATCCGTGAGACTTTTGCACTTTCCATGACAAATGTGTGCGGCGCCAAGATAGAGAGCCACATTTGAAAAACGATCCGTCCTCCATCCGTAGAGTTGTTGCATTTATTCCCAACCATCCTGTGGTGTTGGGTCATAGTTTTGAAGAGACGGCGTCCCGCGTTCTCCTCCCCCTCCTCCTCCTCCTCCTCCACCCGCCTCCTTCATCCTCTCCCTCCTCCCTCCTCCCTGCGTTTCACCCACCCAGTGCAGCGTTTCGTGGCCCCGTTGGGAGCTCCACCGAAGCCCTGCATTTTTTTCAAACGAATGTGCGCGGCGCTTAAGCGCCCAGCCCGCCCTAAAATCAGGCCTTCGGGTACGAGACGGAGAAGTTGTTTAGAAGGAAAAGGAATGTAGGTGGATGAGGAGGAGGATGATGATAAGGAGGAGGAGGAGGAGGAGGAGGAGGAGGAGGAGGAGGAGGAGGAGGAGGAGGAGGAGGAAGAGGTCTGAACGAACTCGTAAGCCGCCAGCCTCAGGAGGATGAGGACGAGGGGAAGGGGCCCGAGGGGGGTGGAGGACGCCTCTCGCGACCCTCCGCCGGTTACCGTCGGCGCGCGTGGGCACTGTCGGGCGTCCAGCACGGTGTTAATGGACCCGCGGGCGTCTGCCGGCTAGCGCCGCCAGGAAAAGGGCGTTCGGGGTCGGGCGGGACGTCAGCGGGCGCTGCAGAACAGCCACGGCCGGCGGGGGGGGGGGGCTGTGCAGTCAACCCGCACAGTAAGGATGAGCGACTTTCCAACTTTACCCTAGCATCCTTCCCCTCTGGCCCATCCTCGGCCGCTTCTGCTGGCTGCGCCCCGGAGGATGACGGTGACGACGATGTCTGGGATCAGTCTGACGGTGCTGCTGACGATGAGGATGGTAGATGATGAACGTGTCGACGAGGTAGCCGTTGTTGATGTTGACGGCGACGATGAAGACGAGGACGACGATGGCGATTGCGATGATGCTGCTGCTGCTGCTGCTGCTGATGATGATGATGATGATGATGATGATGATGATGATGATCGTGATGATGATGCTGATGATGATGATGATGATGATCGTGATGATGATGCTGATGATGCTGATGATGACGATCGTGATGATGATGCTGATGATGATGATGACGATGACGATGACGATGATGATGATGATGATGATGATGATGATGATGATGATGATGATGATGATGATGATGATGATGATGATGATGATGATGATGATGATGATGATGATGATGGTGATGGTGATGATGATGATGATGATGATGATGATGATGATGATGCGCACTGAGAACGAGCCCGCGTGGCAGCTGTCCTTCGCGAAGCTCACGTGGGAGGTCCTGGCGGCGGCGGTGGTTCCGGTGGCAGCCGTGGCTCCCCGTCCGCGTTGCCGCGGAGCTGGGGTGGCCCTGCCCTGCCCCAGCATCCTGCCCCACAGGCCAGGCAACGCGCGCTCGCTGGGCGAGCTCGCCTTCGGGCGCCGACGACGCGGCAGGGGCGACGAGCAGGAGCGATCAGGTCGTGCGCGGCAGCGTGTGCGGCACCAGGGTCGGTGCGCAGCCTGCCCCGCGCGCCCTCCGAGGTGCAGAGCCACCTGGGCAGGCCGGGGTCGGGGCTTCCCAATCTGAGTGAGCCTGCCTGCGGG